GCAGACCCGCTCCTCAGCCCGAACCTCCAGAGGCCACGAGTCAGAGAATCGAGCTGGGTCTCTGTGTGGCCGCCGGGCAGGTGCTGGCCTTCCTCGGGCCTTGCCTTTCCGCGTGTGGACGGAGAATGGGCGCTGCCTCTCTGCGTGCGGGGCGCGGTTCCCCTGGAGGCCCGGCGGGCAGGCGGGCTTTCCCAGAGCGGCAGGGACGACGTGGTACAAACTGCCTTGTTACCGTATTTAAAATCAAACGTCCTTTGAGGTGGGAGCCAGGTCCTCTAATTCCCAGGTGCACCTGCCCCCAGCGCTGTGGTGTTGTCGCCACTCAATACAAGCCTGGGAAATCCCAAGCAGACCTTCCTTTGAGCACACTCGGTGCAGGGAAAGCTGGCCGACCCAGGAGAGGAGCAGAAGTTGAACTTCTGCTAAAAGAGGGAGTCCTCCGTTTACAAAACTCACTTGCAGTGGTATTTCTCTCAATGAGTAAGTTGTAGGAAAATGACCCTTGTAAACAGAATATTTATAACAGGCCAGGGGACTTGAAAATAAATCCTCTTGTAAAATAACTTACCTGGTAATAATAGGTACAGGGCCAAGGGCAGACATGTGATGCGGGAGCTGGCTCGGGGCTCAGCTGGTAGGTGCCTTGAGCGGCCGCATAGGGTCCAATTCTCTCCCACTCCTTCTGTAGCCTCCCCAGCAGGGAATCCGGACATCAGGATACTGCCTCACCTGGCCTGGGGTTAGAAAGCTGGGCCCTGTCCTGTCTCAGTTTCCCCTCCTGACCCCACCTCCCCAGGACAGAGGGGGAGGCTGCTCCACTGCATGCACTGGAAGAGACTTGGAGACCACTCAGGGAGCAGTCTCACTGGCCAGTCAGCCCGGGTGTGCTGGCGGGGGCCTCCAACCTTGCCCAGAGTGAGTGCTCCTGGTGGAGACTCTAGCTTGCAGACACCTACTCATTCCCTACTCCCACACACACACCCACGACATTCCTGAACTCAGCGGGGCATCTCTCTGGATGCTGGTGGATGGAAGAGATGGCATTTTGGGCTCCAGGACTCCATGTGCCATGTGGACTGTGTCTCGGTCCATCAGCCCCAGGCCACCCTGCTGTGAGGACTCAGCCACTCACCATGAGGGGGCCAGCCACACAAGCCTTGCCCTTCCCTGGGCCATTTGGTGCTGGGCTGAGACCCACCCAAGCAGAGATACCACTGCTCACTCGCTACTTTTAAAACCTCTAATCTTTGTGAATATTTCACTAAGTCCAAAGAGCCAGTGGAACACATAGCACTCATCCTGCTTAGCTGAGAGGAGGCAGAGCCAATGAATGCTGGGGTTTGGCAGGGCCTTATTCACTCCCATTAAGGTTGGAAAGCCTTTCCACCCCACCACCCTAGCAGCCCTGGGCCTTCCTGGCCAGAGGGTGAGGGCCAAACCTGGGGAGCCTGTGGGGAGGGGAACACAACCTAGGGCCTCAGGTGGGAACCATCAGGGCGCCTTCACCACAGCTGCCCTCCTCCCCTCCCCTCCCCACCTGCAGCTGGGGAGGGCTTAGAACCTATCCTGCGGAGATGGGCTCCATCCTCCAGGCATGTGGGCATGTGCTGAAGGCACCTCATGAGGCAGATTTCATTCATCATTTTCTTTCTTTTTTTTTTCCTTTAAAAAAAAAATTGGGCGGGGGTGGGGAGGTAATTAGGTTCATTTATTTTTATTTATTTTTTTAAATGGAGGTACTGAGGATTGAATCCAGGACCTCGTGCATGCTAAGTAGGCACTCTACCTCTAAGCTATGCCCTCCCCGCCATTCATCATTTTCTATTTGTTTTTCACTTACGTGTTCTACACACAGTTCCTGACACCTACTTTTGAATCAGGCTCTCCAGTAGAAGTGAGGGCGGAGACCCAAAACATATTTTTATAGGATTCATGGAGAGTGCCTCTTACTTCCTGATACTGAGGCAAAGAACTCTGACTTCACTACTTACCAGCTGTGTGGCCAGGGGCAAGTCACGTAACCTCTCTGAGACTCAGTTTCTTCATCTGTAAAGTGAGAACAAGGGCACCTTCCCCAGAGACTTCCACTATGGGTCTCGGCCATCAGGCTGTGAGAGGTCCCTGCAGAACTTTCTCTGGCCACAGCAGAAAGAGCTTGAGGCTCTGGGGGTGAAAAGAGACCAGATCCTCCTCCGGGAAGGCCCTTGGTCTCCCTCCACCTTCCCTTGCCCTCACGGGGCTCCTCCAGCCCCCTAGGCTTCCTCAGCAGTCTCTTTGATGAGCTGCTTGTGCAACTGGTAATTGACTGAATGCCAAGGACCCCTGAGGACTCCTGCCTGGGAAGGGACAGATATCCCAGGAGGAAAGAGAGGGCTCCCCCAGCTCCTCCAAGGCATGAGACTCCCATCCCCCACCCCATGCCCTGGCTCTGCCTCTGGTGGCTGTGCGTCCTCCTCTCCGGGCCTCATCCATCCCACTAGGGCCTGCTCCTCACACCTCCCTGCAGTCAGCCATCAATCAGAATCACCTGGACCCTTCATCTCCTCCCTTAGCAGTACCTCCTCCCGGGCCAATGCCCTTGCACAGCTGGGAGGTCTGACTGTCCTCCTCCCCACCAGAGCAGCCCATCCAGCAGCCAGGGTTCTCGGCCTTTAAGAAAAAGCTGACGTCCCCCATCTCCTGCCGCTCCCTTTCCTCCCTCTTCCCTTCTCCCTTCCTCCTTTCAGGAAGCAGGGGCCCAAGGTCAGAGGGGAGCAGACACCACAGGGCACCACCCCTCCCCCACAGCAATCCTGAGTACCTTGATGAACCCGGACAGAGGGCCCCAGAGGCCAGGAGCCTGAGCAGTTTCACGAGGCAGCCGGGTGTGGGGCTGGCACCACGGAGAAGACGGACTGTTCAGCTCACCATATTCATCATTATTCCTCCTCGCCTCTCTGTTGGCGTTAGCGGGGGCTTCTTTAATGAACCTTCTGGCTGACAGTTGACACTACCCCTTCAAGAAGTGACATTCCCCTGCTGGAAGGATCATCTGATGCAGGAGAATTCCTCCCCTCCCCCCAGCTTCTCATCTGGTTCCCCAAATGCTAAAAGTCTTCTGAGTACAACTGGCATTTCCCTACCCACCCAAAGGGCAAGAGAGGACCCTCCCCCTAGGGACAGGGACTGTCTCCAGGAGCTACATGGTGGAAGGAGTCAGGGGGACTCAGCGAGAGATCTCCCAAAACTCGGGGTCCCTGCCCAGCCGGAGCAGAAGAGGGGAGGGGCATTGGGACACTCTGCGGGGAGGACTCAATGCCCCTCCAGGCCCAAGAAAGGGGAGTGTTTATGCTTACAGGGAGTCAAGGTGCACAGTATATAACCAAAAAAAACCTTATAAGCTGAATGTCCTTGAGTTTTCTGAGCCTCAGTTTCCTCACCTGCAATAACTGAAAGGATTAGAAATAAGACACGTAACAATATGCAGCAGGCCCCTGATATGTGGTGGCTGAATATTAATCAAATAATGTTGGTCCCTTGTTTGCCCATCCCTTCCACAAACAGGCACTGGATTCTTGGTGGACAAGGCATCACGTCCTGCTACAGTCAGGACAACCCTGCTTCCAGGGCTGGGACTGGAGGTGCTCCTGGCAGGTGGCCCTGTGGTCCCACTGGCAGGGAAATGTTTGCTGGGGAGCTGGGAGCTGAAACCCTTCAGCTGGAATGCAGAGCTGGGTCTGCCTTCACAGATGGGCGCGGGGTTGCTGGGGCCTGGGAAGGGAGGGAGTTTGTCCCTGAATACCGTTTTGTGCCTTTTGAATTTTGAACTATGTGAAGGCATCATCTACCTGACAAATAAGTCAATTACTTATAAAAAGTGAGGCATACAAAAACAAAAATAAATCATAATAGAGTAACATACTTAAAAAAAAAAGCCCAAAATGGAGTTCCGTATGCTAAACCCCATGTCACCAAACCAAGACTTAATTACAGTTTCAGTTCTCCCAGAAATGGAATCTTAAACTGGTCCGTCAGGAAGTGCCTGATCAGTACTAGTGAGGTCATCCGCCTGACAGACTCCCCCCAGCTTCCACTAAAGGAAAGTGACCTGGCAATAACCAGCCCACTTTCTTGGCTGGAAGAACTTCCTCGTTCCCCCTCCCTTCTGCCTATAAAAGTCCTTCCTTTTGTACAGTTCCTCAACACTCCTTTCTAACTGCTAGATTGGATGCTGCCTGATTTGAATCGATTTTTGCTCAAATAAACTTAAAATTTTTAATATGCCTCATCTTTTAATAATACAAATCTTAGAAAATCCACCAATGAGAAGACCAAAGTGTGACGATCCAGGCAAGGTTCTGTGGTGAGCCAGCGTGGGCTCCACTGGTGGTGGAATTAGGGGCACACAGGGGCGAGGAGGAGCGGGAGTGGGGACAGAAACAGGGGAAGATGGGGCACTCCCTCGTCCTTCAGGGCCGGGTGTCCGCTCACCCACACTCCCACCCCGCTCCTCCTCTGCTCCCAACCTCTTGCCCACCTAGGTTAGGGCACCCAGGGAATGTCCTAGAGGTAGCCGCTTACCTGGCTCCCTTCCCCACCTGGGTCCCGAGTTTCTTGTACCTGAGAACCATGTCTTGTGGTCTCTTTCCCCTGGCCTGGTGAAGGAGAGAAACGAGGCCGTGTAGAATTGGCTTGAAGCAGAAGTCTTCACTTTTCTGTGACAGTGGGAAGACCCCAGCTTTCCCCTCAGTACCTCAGCAGTGGAGCTCTGGTCTCCTGCCTGTGTCTGAGTTCCAAACACAGGCATCCCTCTTGGTCATGGCAATAAGGGACCTTACACTGGTAACCAATGACCTTGCACTCTGGCCCCTGGAGAAGAGAAGGAGGAGGGCCCGTCTCATCAGTGTGTCATCTTCCTCACACCCAGGGTGGTCTGGAAGACTGCGCCACACTCAGGAGAGACCAGAGACGGCCCTAGCTCTCCACACATCCTTGGCTGAATGCATGCCTTGCACACGTATGGAAGAGACACAAAAGGGCCTGGCAGAAAATAAAGGCTGGGTTAGACTCACACAACAGCCTAAGCTTTGAATGCATTCCCCTGACTGACACACAGATCCATCAGCGAAGGATGGAAGCCTTACTGGCTTAAAATCTGTGGGCACAACCTCTGACCAATTGCTGACTCACAGGGACAAGCTCTAGAAAGGCCAGATTAAAAATCAAAATAAGAAGAAGAAACAGAGCAGAGAGAAAATAGTTGCACACTGTGGGGAGACAGACTCCACAGAACTGGCCTGAACGAGGGGATAAACCCACACACCCAGCAGTAACGATGGCAGGGAAGGGGTCCAAATCCAGAACTGCTACAGCATATAATCTAAAATGTCCACTTGGCAATAAAAAAAAGTATAAGACATGCAAAGACATAGGAAAGGGTGACCTTACTCTGAGGGAAAAAAAGGAGTCACTAGAAACTCACTGCGGGGGCCAAGATGTTGGGCTTTGTCTCTCTCCTTCCTTCCCTTTCTCTCTGCTCCAATCTCCAGGGAAGGGCCTGACTGGGCCGGACTGGGGGAGAGGTACGTGGAGGTGAGGAGGCAGAGAACACTTGCAAGACCCCATATGGATGAGGATAAATTCCCAGAGAAAAGAGGGGTCCTTGATTTCAATCCAGGTAGTGTTAAAAATCAACTGAGGCATATTCAAAACTAAGAGTTTATTTGAGCAAAAACCCATTTGAAGGGGACAGGGCTAAACCAGAAGTGGTTACGAGCACTCCTCCAGGAGCTGGGGGAAGACAGAATGAGAGAGACTTATTTGCAGAAGCAAAGAAAGGAAATTATTTGCTTGGCTGTAGCTTACAGCCTATTTGGCTGTTTGTGATGAGTTGTCTGTATCGTCCTGATTCCATAACTTTGAGGCATTTATAGTCTCGGGTTTTGGTCTGCTTAGGTAGGTCCCTGCAGCGTTAGAGCCACAACCAGTCTAATAGCCTCCTTGTTTAAGTAATTTAACAGTAGGCATCCCCAAAGGTGTCTGCCATCGTTGCTTCCCTTCTGAAAAGTTAAGTCGTGATGCCTTCAGGAGCCCAAAGGCACTCAGATTTGTTCTCTTGCATCAGAGGAGGACGTCGTCCACTAACCGTTTCTTAGGCAGGTGCTTTGCAAAGATCCATTCTGGCCACCGTGGGGCTGTGTGGGAGTTGGAAAGGGGAGGGGTGATGGGAA